CAAACGCCGTTCTAAACACGCGCTGAACTCAATTCATAAGTCATGCAAATTACAAAATGATTGATTCAAATGTGATCGGGACTGTGCAAACGTCACAAAAATACCGACTCCCCCATCTGCTTAAAGCTATTCCCTCCCTCCCTGACGAGCATGCGCTGTACAAAAACAATTTCACGACCGGGAGTGGCGAGTTATCGAAGGTCATTGCTGACATTGCACAGCGTGATGGAAATGTGTTTTTCGTGTTTCATGAACACTAAATATAATTGCTTTAGATGCAAATTGCCTATTTGCAATAAATGCTCAGTGTTTGTTGAAGAAAACGAGGACGTTGAGGGATGGACAGCCGGTAAAAGAAAGAAAGGCTCGACGAGCACTGTATTTCGGCATTTCGCTGACAAGTCCTAGAAGTAACTAGTCGCGCATCGAGTGAATAGCACGGGGACACGTGCTTATTCCCGCGTTTTAATGAAGTGCAACATATGAAAGAGGATCGACGCAGGTTCGATGTTTGTTACCACGCCGGAATTGAGTCGACTCTTTGTAGAACCTATTTTTAATTTGGACGCGACTTAGATTCGGCGTTTGCCCCAGGCCTTAGACTGGAAACGAAGAAGAAACGCTTACGACAGAGATAAACAGCCATTATTCGCTTTAAAAGGAAGTTTGCTGATCAGGAACAGAGACCAAATTAAAGCAGAAAGTTAAAAAAAAGCGATGTCGGTTAAGGCCACCGTTTCTAAGCAGTGGATCGAAACATGGTTATTCTAGAATAAGCCATTTCTGAGTTCCCCGGGCCTCTGTATCAAAACGAGGTTTAGTGCTCAGCCTTTGATATGGAAATGTTTTTCATTCTCATGCAAATAAAACTCACTTTCACAACAAAGGTTGTGTACTTGGCTTCATTTTGAAAGTGAGGAATTTTGGAACTCGAAAGTGGCCTATTTAAAATATTATTAACTTTGCTAAAGGAAGGGTGAATGAAGCATTCCAAACAACGTTATATTTTCTTGATTATTAGATGTTGGATTAATGGGAGTCTATGGATTTACAAAGGACCTATCTTAGCCATTCTTGTGGTACGATGTTATTATCAACACATGTATTTTAATGTACCTATAATAGTGCGTAGTGTCTGAGATATTAACACTGAATTTTGGCGAGTCCATAGAACAAATGAAAGAACAAAAGAGCAGTGAAAAAATCCCACGACTATGGAAGTTTCAGTTACATCTTCCATCACCGTAAATGTCAACAAACAACCGTAAAACTCGTTTTTGTAATTTGTAGCTCCTTAGTAATAAAAAAGTGCTCTGTAGTCCACAAAAACACAACTGGTGCCGTTTCCGGGCCTCAGGCCCAATTCATACGTTCTGCTTCTGCCGTGTCGAAAAAAATTCTTCCGTTAAGTTCGACAAAAGGACGGCAACAATACGATGTCTGAATCAAAGTTTTGTTTTTGGTTCGGCAGAGCAGAGAAGTTCGACAAGGTCTGCTGTACTACAGGGCTCTGGCTCGGTAGTGATTCAAACGTCGTACTTATGCAGTGTCGAGCTAAATTCATAATTTTGAAAAGGTTTGAACCCAGGAGTCATTTCACAAGTCAGTTGAGCATGATCGTCCGGGGAACCTTTCGGGGACTGTTATTGACAGTGACTGATGTTTCGACAACCTGGGTGTCCTGTGCGGTAGTAATTTTCTGAGTCAAAATGAGTTGTATCAAGTCAGTTGATAGTATTAAACTCTGGTTATTGACCTGATTGGTCAATTAAGTCGCGATGTTATCGGTCGTCTGTCAGTTAAACCGTAATGTAATTGGCTATGAAGACTCGAAATGTCATAGGTGCGGTTCGATCCTTCTATTGTTAATCAAATGGTCGGTTGTCCAGTAACCTGAGTTCAGGCCCAATTTGAGCGGTTCTCATACATTCTCTCTAACGGCTACCGCTGAGATTGGGCCTACGGCCAGATTTTGGCCGTAACGCTGATTGGCTGTTAGAACAATGCCACAAGATCTGATTGGCTGTCGGAAACGCCGGAAGTTGAAAGCGCTTATTCCTCGCATGGTTTTTTTTCGTGACAATCCGTCGTCGGCGGAGAGAAGGATCGATTTTGCTGTCTCTTTTATTGTTTTATGGTCTCATGGTAGGAAAATATGCCTTAATATGTGCCAGGGAAATTCAGAAAATTCATATGGTTGTTCATATCTTCTCAGGATTTGCTTTATTTACGGAAAGTGAGTGTATCGCGGAGTTGAATCCCTCTGCAAGTTGTTGACCGCTAACAAGGTGCATTTTGATTTACCAACAAACGGGTGCAAATCAAAATACTGTCCATCTTAAAACTGGTTTCATTTGAAAGTTTAGCCGGGAATGACTTCTCTGAACGGGGTACGCAAACGGAGGCTCACTGCGAAAGAAACCTCAATCGCCAGCTGTGAAGTATTAGACGAAAAATATCGCATCGCTGTTCAAGGCATTTTCAGTGTTCACTGACTGGTTGTTTGCCTTCGCTTTTTGTAAAAAATAAACCAAGAAAACTGGTGTCCTCGCTGGTTGGCTGTTTGCTTTTGTTTTTAAAGATTTACGTACTGAAAATCGGGGGAAATTGCCGAGGAAAATAGCCCATTTTACAGTTGCAGGTGAAAACGAGGCTGGAGTTGACCTTGTTTTGATACAACACTTCCTGCTTTTTTATGTAAATCATGTCTTTCTTATGCTAACTAGTATTTTTTAAGCAAACTTTACATTACAAAAGGAATGAGGTTTGTATCAAAACAAGGTCAACCTCAGCCTCACGTTCTCTCAAAGGCTAGGGGACCAAGCCCACAACTGTAAAATTAAGAGTTAAAAGCTATTTTTTAAGTCAGCCAGTCTGCATTTTTCCCACGCGTGAAAAATTTGCATACTAGAAAAACAAGCAACGGACGTAATTTTGGTTGGCTGGTTCGGCAAATGTCAATCAATCAAAAAAGTGGGCGGCAAACGTTTGGTGGAAGGTTTGTATCAGGCTCTCTTTTCGTTTCGCCATGCCCGCCGGAATGTTATTTACAAAGCGAAACGAAAATAGAGCCTTATCTCAGGTTAGTTGTCCAGTCATTCTCTCGTAGTTAGTTCTGCTTGAGTCCGTCAAGAATTCGTTTGTACGGTGACGGTAACTGTTGACTACGATTCAGTGGCGTTTGTTCTAAGTTAGTAAATCAGTAATCTGTTCAATACGATGTTTCGTCTGTAAATGGTGTTCAGCAATGTGATTGTTGATATCACCATTCCTTGTCGCTCGTTTGTGTTCGGTAAGTCGCGCGCTCAGGTAGATTAAGGCCTGGGTTTAAATTATTTATGATTTTATGTACAGTTTCCAAAAACTATAGTTAAAGACATCCACGTTGGACGATTTTTGGTGAGGTAAACTAAACTTAAAAAACTTGAAAAAAGAAATTTAAATTATTTGGTCACGTGATCGACAACGCCCTCCATTGTTCGAAAATTAGAACCAACGATTCCCACCACTGGCCAAAGAAGTAGCTCCGCTTTCTCTGTATCAAAACATTGTCCTTACAAAGTGTCTACGAAATCAGCTCGGAATGGTTCGAAGCATTGCAGTTGGCAGGTGGTGGTTGGCAGGTGGTGGTTGGTGTTCACTGACTAGCGCCAGTCCTCCTCCAACTTAAATTATCGACAGGAGAAAGACGTTTATTGACCTCGCCTCATTCCGATTGTTTTTACACGAAGACTATTAGTAGCCACTTTTTGGACCTACTGAAGGAAAACGGTTTACTCTCTTTCTGGTGGGAATTTTGATTCAAAGGATTTCTCGATAAAACAGGGCGTGGCTGGTCACGTGATGTATTTATAGACAATTTTTAAAATGAAATTGGAAGATTTTTTGGTTATGATTGGCCTTAAATTGTTAGTCATCTGATATCTTGAAAATGCTTTATGTTATACCACCCCCCTTTAAAAATTCTGAAAACTCTGTGATGACCCAGACCATAATCTACTTGAGCGCTTAAAGGCTTCTGCCAGTCTCACCAATGTAAGTGGCCTGGCAGTCGCAGCATTTGATCTTGTATAATTTTGGAAATGCATAATTATTTTCCATTTACTTTTGACTTGACACTACCTTCACAAAGTAAGGGACGGACCATTATTTTTTGTGGGGGGGGGGGGGGGGGGGGGGGGGGG